CATGAATAAATTAAACGTGTATAGAAGGTTGAGAAAACAGCTGCAATCATCAAAATACACTCAGAATTAGCCTATGGGTGATGCGTTGAAGTTCTGAGAATACCCCTCGCCACTGCACGTGATGTACATGGTATTTCGAAAACCGTTATAACCTCTTCCCCCCTGGCGTCGCTAGCAAGTCCACGATTACTAGAACTATACAGCGAGTTAACAAGCAGGCAACTGAACTGAACACTACAATTATTGACCCTTGCTGCTATGAATTTGCGTCTACTAGAGGCGCGCCGCGACTGCTTGACGATGAGCAACGCGCTCGCGTTGTGGAGCTCACTATTGCGTCGCAGGAGAGCTGGGAGAAGGAGAGCTGGCAGGCCATCAAGGATGGAGACTTTGTGAACGCTGGCCTGCCAAATTTCAGTGTATCGCTTACGAAAATATCATGTACAATGCTGGTTACGCGCGCTGGCGACCAGGCTGGAAGCCACCTCTCAACTGTTGAAGGCAGGTGCTGCCTAGTCAATCAGAAGCAGCAGAAGCTCTCCTGCTCTCTCTGCAGTCGCAACTACCTCTGGTAGTGAGACGATGCTTATTTGGGACTAGCACTGTTTACGGTCACTCACCTATATATACTGTTCGTAGCCTCACTTAACACAAAATTAATAAAATTACATATTTCAACAGGTTATGAGCCTGGGCTGCTACCCAGATACCACCCACCTCCCGTCATACAGCACAAGCGAGCTGCATCAACATCGACCCTCACAAAGGCCTCTTGACTGCTCTGCTACTTGCCATCGTACCTGTCACTGACGCGACTACACCTCTCCGCCAGACTGCTACTGCTACAAGCGGACCTACCTTGTTGTCACCAACACGCAGCCCGCAGCCTACAAGCCAGCAACTGCGCGCGTCACAACTCACCGTCTTCATTGACTGAATTAACCTACCTGCCCCTACTTCGATAATCAACTCACTGCTGTTCTCGCCAAACGTGTTGCTACCACATCAACTAACTGCACAAGCCCTACACTAACAGGCTAATTCACGGCACCTCATTGCACGGCTACCAGCACCTACCCGACAATTAACGACAAACAGCAAGCACTGATATCTGGCGGACAGCAGGTTATCTCGCTACTTAATACCTGGGTGCCACCATCATGGCGTCTAAATTCCAGTTCAAGTTCTCCCCTGAGTCGCTGCCAAAGCTCACCTCACGTGGCGATAACTATCCCAAATGGCGGTCAGCATGGCAGATCGCCTTCCGCTACGCAGAGCTCTGGCCTATCGTCAGCGGCAAGACCAAACAGCCGGACACCGCAGGCGACACTTAGAATGACTGGGACGCCAACGACAATAAGGCCCTCGTTATGCTCATTTTGGCCGTCCACAATGACCTCACCATGTCTGTCACCAGCTGCGACACCGCTATAGAAGCCTGGACACACCTGGCTGGACGTTTCAACCAAGACACAGGCAATATGTCTATTGCCCTCTTCCGCAGCCTGACTAACCTTAGGTACAACAACAGTAATGACCTTTAGCTCTACCTTAACAAGTTCTACTAACACTAGACTAGGATGGCTAACTGCTGTGCCACATCATCGCAAACTATGGCAAAAGCTATGACGAAGATGTTTGAGTTAGACAAGGTTAAAGGTTCCTTTTTCCTCTCTACCCTGCCTAACACAATAGTAGACTGGCGGATGGGTACCATGTACCTAGGGTAGGGTATAGGTAGGGTATAGGTCGCACGGACGTAGGTATAGGTAGGGTAGGGTCGCACGGACCATAGGTATAGGTAGGGTAGGGTTACACGGACCATAGGTAGGGGAGGGTAGCACGTGACTAGGTATAGGTATAGGTAGGGTAGCACGTGCTAGGTATAGGTTTGGTTTGGGTATATTACTAACCTAGTTTGTATACAACTAACCCTAGGTTGTACTAGT